ATCTGATAGAAATCACATGCCTTTTTGGATTCCTCCCATGCGGTTGATTCGATTTTTTTCTTCTTCTGTTTTCTCCCTTTTTTAACGCGGCTCCTTCGATTCGAAAGTTTGATATTTCAACCTTAGACCGACTTTTGATTACTAGAATCGAAAGTTAGAGTATACACAATTCATATCCCTTGAGCTGTTTGATGAAGGTGGCTCAAGAGATCTTATGGTCGTGATGGGAGCTTATTTTCTAGAGAGAGAAAACTTACTTTATGAGATGGAGAGAGAGTGTCACGTGATAGAATCCCCAACACATCTCTCTTTACACCTTTTTTTTATGGAAGTGACCACCCATTTGAAAGGGTTGTCACTTATCTAAAAGTCAACAACTCCCAAGATATTTTAGATTTTGTGATTGTCCAAAATATCTCTCCGTTTCTCATATCTCCTTATCTCATTAGTCAAAGCCCAAAAAATTCTAAAATATCCTCCCTCCCACAAAGGGATTGATCCCACAAAAAACATACATCTCCCACTCGTCCTGGAGTGGGTGGGAACATGTTGGGATGCGAGAAATTGCTCTTACACTCTACAGGGAAATGAATCGTGAACCTAAGGAGCAACTACATCTCTACAGAGAGAATATATTATGTTTTTCCATAAAAAAACTAACACGCAAACATATTATATTATATTATTTGAGTTTTCAATAACATTTTGCAAAAGAACATCCAAGATAAAACTTTACGTCGTTGTATAGTTGATGAACATCATAGAATACGCTGATGTCTCTAGGTACCAATTGGAGTGTGATGTCATTGGTCGTTCCCTAGCCCTACTGTCATTCCATTTTGACCTAACTGCTTTCCTAGCCTTGCCCTTAGCCCGGGCCGAATCATAGATGACAATGGGTTAGCATATTAAAGTAGCAATATCAAGTCTCCACTTCTTGATAGTCACAGGGTCAATAAGGGCACTCATGATCACTAAGTGACCGGCTATATCTTGGAGGAATATGAAAAGAGTGTCGTGGCCTCAAAATGTGATTCCTGTCCTCCTTATAGGGGAAATGCTGGATGGTAATAATTATGCTATATGGCATAGAAAAATCAAGTATTTGATGAGCAGGGTGTGCTGGAACACTAGACCTCCAGAATGGACCCCCCTGAAGAAGGTAACTCAGCCCAGCTGCATCGTGATTTAGAGGCATGCCAGATGTGGCTCAAGAGGGACCGTTGGGCATGTTTCACTTTATTGAGTAGCATACATAATGACCTAATTGGGCAATATGAGACCTATTTGACAGCCAAAGGCATGTCTGTTGGTACCATAGTTACTAGGAAGCATGCACTCACAATGCCATTCAAAACTTATAACATGCTGCCAAATGTCACCATGACGGAGCATTTGAAAAAAATGTTACAAATAATTTGTGAACTGAGCGCTGTTGGGAATATTTTGAATGATGAGCAACAGATTTTGGCTGTGCTCTCAATCACTCCCTTCTTCTTAGAAACAAATGAAGATCTTGATGATGCATGATGTCAATGTTAAGATTCTTGTGAATCTATCTTATCTCATCATTTGGAGCTAGAGGCAGAATGCTGCTCAGCTAGGGATAGCAGCGTTGCCATGAAGTGGGTTTCATTGCCATAGAGCAGTCAATTCCCCTTACAGAATGCAGTCACAATATTCATTCTGACACTGGAATGAGAGGTTATGGTTGTTTGAAGTTATGGTATGTTTTAGGTTTTTCTTTTAGGATGAATTTTGTCTTGCTATATTTTCTGGAGGACAAAACTGCCGGATTCTGTTTCATTTTTTAATAGAATTTCTGATTTCATTAGAATTAGGGTTAAGGTGTCCAAATAAAGTCTCAATAGGGGTTGTGCTAGGTTTTTTACTCAGTTAATTATTGTTTCACAATGTCTTTCTTTGAGAATTCTATTGAATTTGCAGAGCCATTGAAGCTAAGCTTGTTGGCTTTTCTACTTTCAATCAGAGTATCAGAGTTATTTTCTTTGTTTGTTCGCATTTGCATCAATGTAGCACAAAAGACGGATGATAAACATTCGGATTGATTTACATTTTCAGTTCCAGCTTTCAACAACTTAGGTCATGGTATCATTTTCTAAGTTGGTATGGTTTTACCAATCAACTTGATTTTTTTTATAATTTAAAGATTCAAATGTGTATGAGGTTTTCATTATTTATAATTTTCTGTGTTAACCGAACCCAAATAGTTGGGAAAAGGTTCTGATGAGATGATAATGATGATGGTAATTTTCTGTGTTGATTCAACAAGAGCATGCCCCTTTTAATGCTCTAGCACTTTGATTTGACCACAAGCTGGGTTCAGTTGACGCAACAAACACTTAGTGTTTTGCAATTCTGCACACAGAAATTTAATGAACTCGACGAGTTTTTTCTTTGTTAACCATTCGACTCTGTGAGTTGACTCAGTTTGAGGTCACCAAGTCATCAACCATGTTCTCCGTGAAAAATCTAAAAAGCTTCCTGCCATATGGTAAAAGGCCCCTGTGCAATTCAATAGTTAGAAATCAAATTTTAGATAATACTTCCAATAGCTTTTCCTTCATCATAAGGGGTTGTATCGTGGGTATCCTTCTTAGTTTTGGAGGATTGACACATGGCCACTTCCATCTTATATGTTTAGATCATGCATTATTTTGTATGATTTAGATACACTTTGTGCTTTTGGTATATAATCTAGTGGAGAGTGTCCAGAAAGTAGCCACAACGTTTTCTTCACAGTTGAGTGAATAGTAACAGGCATTATTTGATCTTTTGGATGAAGTTTTATGATGTCGTCTTGCCTGTATATGGGCCTGCAACTGGATAGAGATTCAACCTGCCTTACTGAGAAATCCTCATCCTTTGTTTGCTTTGAAATGCATGTGGATTTTCTTTTTCATTTTTCATTTTTCATTTTTCATTACCTGATTCTTTATAAAGTCTTTTAATCTCTTCAAAATATGTCACTAAAATGTAAATTAAGTGAAACCATATAAATTCACTAGTTTGGAAGCTTCTCCCATACTCCAATTGTTTTTTTTTTTTGAAAGATAAACTGCATTGAAAACCAGGATAACAAATTACCTAAATATTGACTTTTTCTGGAATCTATTGAATCACAAGTCCAAACATGCTTACGTGCACACACACACAACTTGTGAAGCCCATGCCCTTTTTTATCTTTCACACAGCTAAAAACCGTATTTTGGAGATAACAGCTTTCATTTAGCCAATAAGCCCTTATGTGTTTATTTTTTCCTTTGAAACAAAAGTCCTTTTTTTTGGGGGGACATGTTAACAACGTAGGAATGGAACCCTTGATGTCAAGTTGTGGCTCTGCCAACCTGACCATCCAGGCGTAGGGCCAGCCCATTCCTCTTATTTTTATGTTGTTTCAGGTCTTGTTTGTGCTCCTCAGGCTTTGGTTTCTAATCTGTGCAGCACCTTGGACCCCCAGCTACAGGAAGCATTCAAAGAATACTTGACAGCTAGAGGGATTGATGTGGAGTTTACAAATTTCCTTTTACTGCAGTTGCGTAACAAGGAGCAAAGTCAGTATGTGAATTGGCTGCAAAGAATCGAATCCATTCTTAAGAATAATACAGAAAGTTAGAAAACAATCCCATAGAGGGTCCGACTTTTTTCCTTGGCTGAGACTACTCCTTTGGGATGGTTGTTATAGTTCAGTGCTCTTTTTGCAATTGGATGACATTTCAAATGCAGTTGGGCAAGTGAGGAAGATTACTGCAGTTTTCTCAAATCTTTTATTTCTTCATCAGAATGCTCAAAAGTAGGAAATATAGGTTTTCTTTTCTTCACCAACTGGATTAATCTTTTGGAATAAAAATACGGAAACAAGCTTGAATGGTGGCAACCGTTGTGCTTCTTTATCATTGATACCAACAAGCTGGAAGTTAATGAAATGATTTAAGTTTCCATTGGTTAAGACAGATTAGTTTTCTTTCGTCTTTTTGGCTGTTTTTATTAGCACGTAACAAGGGCCTTTATCCCTCTCTGTGCCCCACGAAACAATATTCTCTTTGAAGAGATACTGGTTTTTTTTGGTGCACAAATCAGTAAGGGCCTCTCTCTCTCTTACACATGCATTTGAATGGTAGAGATGCATTACCTGGTTAAGCTGGTATCCATTTGCTCTCCACCTTCATGTGACATTGTCAGTACCATTAGGTGACCCCAAATAATTGGGATAAAGCTTGGATGATGATGATGACGATGTCACAAGAGTACTATCATCCATCTGATGTGACAATCTATTTATATTGGATGGCTAGGGGCACCTAAAAGCATGAAGTTTTGGCTATTGGAGCCACTTTGCTAACAACTTGGGTGACTTTGAAGGTGAAGGTGATAATTTTGAGATGTATTCGAAATATTATAAGGGAGAAGAGTAGGTGATATTATAATTCCACGGCGAAAACTTGGGGGATTTATTTGATCCAAACCTTCTCATTTGTCAGTGGATTTGTTTGAACCAAATCCCTCTTCGTTGTTCTTTCGCAGGATTATAATTTTTTTTAATTTTGTTTTAAAATATTGGGGCAAATGGAGATTTGAAGCTCAAAAAATGATCTGAATGGTTAATTATTGATTCGAGCATATAGTATATATGCTCTAAAGAGCTCGAAGTCTTTATTTTGGTTTTCGAAATTGATCACAAGTTTGATGATTTGAAACATTACTGGATTTGACAACTGCAAGTTGAATCAGAACTGAAAATTTTTAATTTTGGACTATGGAAGATGGAGATTCGAGTACTTGATAATAGAGAATGAGGTTATCGGTTAATTCTAGAAAACTATGTTTGGTTTGAATTGGGATTTTGTAAACTTGGAGATATACAAATTAGATGTTGATATAGATAAGCATGGTGGTAGTAGATCCAATCAATCTGGTGGAGGGTTTATTTGCAATAGTCTTTGTGGCAGTATTTCAAATACCTTCGTAGCTAATCAATAATGACAAGGGAAAAGATGCTAAATCCGTGTAGTGAATGAAAATATTATTGACAAATTTGTGTATTCTTCCAAAAGAACTTTGTAGACATTTCTACGTTTCAATACTTATTCACGAAACGCTCAAAATATTTCCGTCTATATTAGTAGGGTCCTTCTCACCACCCACTGATAACCTGAAGGACAAACAGGATTGGACCTCTTGGGTACGGTGCCTAGAGAGTAGAGACAACCTAGGTTAAGATGGCTGGTTGAGAGCTTTTCCAAATGGGGCGGAAGAGGTTTACAGGGTGCTAAACTGCCAACACCAAAGTATTGGAGGGTTAATAGATGCTTGCTAACAACAAAGCCATGGAAACCAAATCCTTGTTCATCCTTTATTACTCTTGAGGTGGTCTAGTTTAGAGCTGAGGTGGGTGTACCTTTTTATGTTTGGAATTTGGGAGTATTTGAAGATATTGGAAATATTTGTGGGATTTATATGGATTTTGAGTAGAAATCCGTCATGGGAAGACTTTTGTACGAGAAGAGGGAAATTACAAAAATTCCTTTTGACTTCATTTTCTTTACAATCTCCCCCAACCAATTTTTTTTCGCAACTTTCACCACCACAGAAAACTTTTCTAGCAAATGCTTAACTTTTCTTATGACACACACAAAAAGGTGGTCCGGCAATGTAAACGAGCGGTCCAGCAATATCCCAAAGCGGTCTGGAAATAGACCCATGCAGTTCGGCACTATCAAAGAACGATCTGGCAATAGGCCCATGCGGTTCAGCAACAGGCCCATGTAGTCTGGCAATAGGCCCAAAGCACTATTCGACAATGTCCCCATGCAGTCCGACAATTAATTTTTTTGACAAATATTCGAAAATTTTATTAATGACTAAATAAAAGATATTACATCAAAAAAAATCAAAAGAGAAAGCAACGAAGCACCTCCCTTGGCCAAATAATCGGCAATGGAGTTTGCTTCCCGGTATACATGATTGAAAGAAACAGAAATAGGTTCAACTAGATCCATAATTTACAACCATAATGACCGAAGCTCCAGCAATTATTGTGTGACAATTTGCACTCAGTCTGACATGTGCACTCGGTCTGGCATATTGTGGACTCAGACCAATATTCTTTCTATTTGTTGAGTATCTTGCAGGGATGTGACACCACTATGTACAGACAAAAGCATTTTTGTCCAAAAAAGAATGTCATTTTGACTTGGGGAGCATTTGCTAGAAAATTTTGTTTTGAGGTAAAAGTTGCAATAAAAAGATTGGTTGGGAGACGTTGTCTAGAAAGTCCAAGTTGGAGGACATCTACAATTCTCTCAAGAAAACAAGATGGAGTTGTCTACAGAGCTACTATCTATCTTTTATACATAGAGGTCACCATCATTCTTGTCTCTTAAATTTTAATGGCAGGTTGTATGATTGCCATTAATGGATACAAAGTTCCAAACAAAAAATCACCCCAAGCCATCCAATTTGACATCTAATGAGTGCGAATAATTGTGACCTTTATGTATAAAAGATAATGGTCCCTTTGTAGACAATCCCTTTGAATATTTTTAGATATTTTAATTGTTGGGGTTGAGGTCGGGGTCAGGATCCGAGTCTTGTGACTTCGGGTCCAGGTCCCATAATATTTTTTTGGGTCTTGGTCCAGATCCAGGTCCAAGAGTCAACGCGATCCTTTGCCAACTAAGAAAAGGGTACAAATGTAATAACTAAATCAAGATTAAATACATTTTAAAAAGGGAAAAGTTTATATAGAGCCAAGGCTCTAAATAATCAAATGGGAGCCTATCACAAAAATTTTACTGAAAGAGGTTGTTTTGAAGTCCAAATATCCTCTAAATAATAAAATTGGAGCCTATCACAAGACTTTCACTGAAAGATGTTGTTTTGAAGTCCAAATATCCTCAAACCGATCATCTTAATATCGAGATGCATGGAAATGAGAAAAAAATATATTTCAAGTTTTGGAAATAGTATATTTTGTATGCATTTTTGGATCGTCAATTTTCAAAATTTTCAAGTTTCCTAGATCTGTCGATCTACACTATTTTTTGAAGCTTTAAACTTTATAAATAAAGGTGAAAATATATTCTAAGGCTATCACAAAGATTTTTAGTATTGAAACCACATTTCTCGATACTATTTGCAGGGAGGCTCTAATTTGATTGTTTAGAACCTAGGTTCTATACAAACCCCACCCTTTTAAAAAAAGGATATATAGGTACTATACATCGTAATTTTTTTTTTTACAAATAATCTCAAAATTTTTAGATACTGAAAATCACCTAAAAAATTGTGCATGCCGCCTGAGACCATGAGACTATAGAAAAGTAAACTCAACTACATTTGCGGTCCCCCGAGGCATCCCACATCCATCTCGTTCCTCAAAAATAAAAGTAAACCCAATTCTTTGGAATTTTCTTCAAAACATTAATATTTGTAATTTTTAAAATTTATTTATTTTTACACATTTATGTTTTATATATTAGAAATCATATATATCTAAAAAATTAGGTCCAAAATCTATTTTAAAAAATAAATCGTAAAAAGGGGATGCACCTCTACATAGGAGTCCTAGGACTCATGAGAACCTCATCCCCTAAAAATCAAGGGAAAATATCTGTATAGAGTATAGACCCATTTTCAATTTTCATTTCTTTTTAACCCAAGTTTCAAAACTTATTTTCTAACTTCTAAACAACTTTATTTATTTCTATTCCAATTTTTAACCCAAAACAAATAAATTAGAAAGACATTTTTTTTTTGAACTTTTTCTTTCCTCACGTGTTTCTTTCTCTAGACTGTTCTTCCTCTCAGCCACTCTGCTGCCCCATTTCCACCATCCTTCACCCCCATTTCCGGCAGCAACCTGGCTGAACGCGTCCTTCAACTAACCACCAGCTGCCATCGTCCTCACCTCACTGGCCTTCTCTCTGCAACCTCCCACTTTCTCTCTCTAAAAACCCCCTCACCATCGCCCCTATGGAATCACAAGGTGGGTTCCAAGGTTTGATCAGGTCAGGGTAAGATAAAGGTTTTTTCCATTGTGTTTTTGGCCAAAATTAGACCAGAAAGTGGGGCTCTGTATGGATTCTTGATGTGGGTTTTGGGTGCCTTGTTTAATTAGGTGTTGCTTTTATTCTTGAGTTTTTTTTTTTTTGGTATATTTACTGTTGTAGTTTTAGTGAAATTTGGGGGAGAATGGCTCGATTTTGGCTGGAAAGTGAGCAAAATAGGCTGGTTTATGGTGGTGATGGGGAAATTCGCTGGTTTATCAGAGGTTTTCTTTTCTTGGGTTGAGTAGGGGGCCAGAATTTATTATCGGATCATTTGGCCGGAAACTTTCGTTGGAGAATGAAGATTGGTGATTTTCTTCAGGGGGGTTTGTGATTTTCTTGACCCGGAAAGCCTGAATGGCCGGAATTTTGATGAGAATTGCCGAAGGTTTTTGTTCCTCCATAAACTACCAACGCCATCGCCAATTTGCTGATGTCCCTTTTTCTCTCTCTAAAACCACTACCGCCCCTTTTTCTCTCTCTAAGATCACTGCCACTGTGCTGCAGCCCCTTTTACCTCTCTCTCTCTCTCTCTCTGTTGATCGGGCATTTTACTCTCACCCTCTTGATCAATAGCCTCTCTCTCTCTCTATAGATGGGGGATCTCCAACAGCAGAACCTGATTCACTACGGTGAATGCACCTTTCAAAGTATATACAAGCGCGTTCTCTTGAAGCGCTCTGTCACCAGTTTCAGTGCCGCAAAATTATAGTGGCCGGAAGTTTGCAGGAAAACACGGCAAATTTTGGGGGGTTGAGAGCAGAAAATTATAGTGGCACAAGGTTTGCAGGAAAAATTGGGGGGTTGGGAGAGAGAGAGGGGTTTGGGAGGTTGATTGGGGGAGAGAGAAAAGGAAATAACGAGGAGAGAGGGCTCTAGAAAAACATTGTTTCTATAAATTTGTTTGGGTCAAAAAATTTAATAAAAAATAAATAAAATATGTTTAGAGGGTTAGAAGATATAATAAAGTGAATTTTTATGTAGTAAGATAGGTTTTACAGCTTTAGATTAATAAAAAAATGAAAGTTGAAAATAGGGTTGGAGATATTTTTTCAAAAATCTATCCTTCATTAAATTTCACTCATATCATAAATATGAAATGTAGGGACACCGGCAAACTCTCTCTCAAAAAATAAGTAGCAAACAAAGATTAGGAAAGAAGAAAAAATATAAAGCTAACTGTGTTACTCAATACTTTAATAAAAGGTGTGGTTTGTATAAGGCTGCGACTAATATATTTAAAGCATGATTAAATAAAGTATATTTAAATAAAATTAAAAATGAATAAAAAAATAGATTTTATATGTGTTCAAGGGTATTTTTGAGTTTTTTCAAAAAAAAGAAGAAAGAGATGAAAATAAATATTAATAGCCAAAACAATTTCCAATCTTTTCCAAAATAATAAAAACATTAAAAAATCCTTTATAAACAAAATCTCTTATTTTTTGATATTTTATATAAATTTTTGAGTTATTTGTAAAATACCCCATTAGTTCACCAAAATCGATTGAAACCAAAATTGTTCGATCTAACCTGGACCGCCTGATTTGCGCGATCTAACTTGGACCGCCTGATTTTTTCTACACTGGTTGTGACCTTAAACAATCCCAGTAAGATGGACCTTAAACAATCCAAGTAAGATGGACCTTAAACAATCCAAGTAAGATGGACATCCAAATTTTGTCATAAAGATACACTTTTGGTATCGAAATTCTTAGTATGACCTTATAATTTATTTTCACAAATTATAAATTTTTAAAATCCAAAACTAGATAAATCTAGTAGATCTATAAACACAAATAAAATTTGAAAATAAACAATCTAGATAATGTATTGAAAGATATACTATTTTCAGCACTCAAAATTTTTATTTTTTTATATATTCATATATTTCGATATTGAGATGATCAATTTAAACTTATTTTTTAACTTAAACAAATGTGAGAAAGACATGTTATTTCTAAACCCAAACCTAATCCTTTCTCTCTTCACTTATATATTCAAAACCTTTCTTTTTTTCTCTCTTCCTACATCTCTCTCACTCTCTGTCTCTCCTCCAATATTTATTCCTCTCACCTCCATGAAATTCTCTCTCTCTAAAGGTTTGGGAGGATACCTTTTAGAAAAATCATGTCTTTTTAGATATGTTTAGGGTAAAAAAACATGTTTAAATTAACGTAAGAGATTAGAAGAAATAAAATCTACAATTTTTATGTTCGAAAATGTCTTTTAAAACCTTATGTCTATTGTGAAATGAAACCTAAAAATAAAAGGTATGGAGATACTTTTTTTAAAAAAATAATTTTTTTCAATAAATTTTTTAAAAAGTATAATGAAACGATTTACCTTTAGTATAAGGTGATCACAATTAATCATGACCATTAAATGTGAAATTTGAAAGTTGCATTTATTTCATTGACGAAGCTCAAACTTCAGAAGAATTTTCTTCAAACTTAATGATACATCCAAACTATCAAATTTCATATCAGATGATTGTGTTATGACCTTGTATACAATACCCAAAAATTTATACACATCCAAGCTATAGAAATTTTTTCGAACTTTATGTCTCATTGTATACAATCTCCAAATCGAACTTTGTCACATTGTATACGATTCCCATTTTTTTTTTTTTGTTGAGAGGAAAACTTTTTCCTTATTAATAAATGGGAAAGTTTTATATAGAGCCAAGGCTCAAAACAATCAAATTAGAGCTTAGCTCAAAAATTTCATTAGAAGAGTTTTGATGCTCAAATATTTTCAAATTGATCATCTCAACATCAAAATGTATGGACATGAGAAAAAAAAATAGACTTCAAGTTTCGGAAATATTACATCTTGTAGGGCATTTTTAGACCATCAATTTTTAAAATTTTTAAGTTTTACAGTTATGGATTTACACTATTTTTAAAGGTTTAAAATTTATGATGAAAGTTGAAAATATATTTTAAAGTTATTACAAAGATTTCCGAAACCATTTTTCTATACTATTTGAAGGTGCGCTGTACTTTGATTATTGGGAGCCTTGGCTCTATACAATGCCAAAAAATCAAAACTTGCATAATTTAAATGCCACAAAGGATAAAAGACTGGTGCTCGTTGACAAAAAATTGTTGGACGGAAGCTCAGTCATGCATGGGGATCGTTTGCAGGAAATGAGAGAGAGAAAGTTGTTTTATTCACAGGTCTAGAGAGAGAGCATCTGTCCTCCCCAAATTACCTACTGCCATTTTCTTTTTCTTCAGATTCGTCTTAGCCCCAGAAAGTTTCCTTTTCAATTGTTATTGATTATTATTCTTGACACCTTTTAATTCCTTTTCCCACTTATTAATTCTGTGTGCGCCTTTTCCCTCGCTTGTTGGTTTTGCAGAGTGAACTTGTAATGGGGTTTCTAACCCTCACCTGATCTTCAGTTCCATAGAGTATTGGATGGGCTGAAATATTCTCTGAAAAATCCTCATCCCGAATTTCTAATGAATTGACTCCTTTCATTTTGGAGTTAATCTGTACTGAAACTCTTTCTCTTTCTGTTTTTCTTTCTTTCGTTCATCGTCAGTGTCTCTGAGAGACTCTTTTCGATCTCCCCCATTTTTGCATTTCTCGATCCAATTCTCTCTCTCTCTTTCTTTCCGGAGCTTCTCTCTCGCCCAAAATTTGTTTATCTCCACCAATTCTCTCTCTCTCGGTATATATCGAACCTTCTCTTTCTCTCACATCCAATTTCATAATTCTCCATTAATGAGCATTGCCTGAAACAAGGGAGATGGATGATGGAGAGGTGGAACTCTCTTCGGAGCATGTATTCCTCTGTAACTCCGATGATTACCCCATGGAATCAATGCTGGATGCCCTTATGTCGAAGAGTAAGAAGAAGAATATGAGTGAAAAGAATAGGATTACTAAGGACTCTTCGGCTCGAACCTGCACCCACACCCACACCTGCAATCCCCCTGGGCCTGACTCCACCCATACCCACACCTGTTACCACACCCACACAACACAACTGTTTTCACCCAATGAAGAGCCCTCTAATTCTCCTTCTAAACCCAATAAAACTTCAGGAAACAGAGAGGCTGTGAGAAAGTATAGAGAGAAGAAGAAGGCCCACACTGCTTATTTGGAAGAGGAGGTGAAGAAGCTTAGAGCTCTGAATCAGCAGCTTCTGAGGACGTTGCAGGGTCAGGCCATGCTTGAGGCTGAAGTGGTGAGGTTGAGAACGATATTGATGGATCTTCGAGGGAAGATTGATGGAGAATTGGGGGTCTCTCCATTTCAAAGGGCCTCGACAATTTGTGGAAGTGGGTTCAAAGAAGGGAATTGTAGTCTAGGATCCATTCATGGAGTTGGTGAGGTGGGATTGAATCTTGTTGGGTGTGGTGATGATGTGCCCCCATGTCTTCATCCTCAAGGTAAGGTCATGGAAAATTGTGAGCCCCCTATTATTAGTTGTCAGCTCGCGAATTCAGACATAGCATCTCGCGCTTTTTCCTCTGCTGAAACTCAGCTTGATTCTCTCATACCAGCCAATGAAATGGGTATTTCAGGGAGTTTGGTGGCTTCAATTTCTCAGGCTGAATGATTTTGCTTGGTCTCATATTGGGCAAGAGTATATTCCTTTTGTAACTCACTTGGAGGCCGAAGGTTGCTCTTCTTCTGCTGCCTCTATTTTTGGCATATGGGACTCAGGGATAATGATAAAAAAGCTACTCCTAGTATTGGGGTAATGGCCCTATGTCCCTTTCTTCATCCTTAAGTGTCGTATATCTGGAAAAAGAAAAAAAGAAAAAGAAAAAAGAAAGTAAAAGGAATCCCAACACTTGTAGTCTTTGCTCGGGTTTTAAAGACGAGTTTAGGTTTTGTTGTTTTTTTTTTTTTGGGTTCCACTTTGGGAATACCTTTGTTCAGTGAATCAATCCATCTTCTTCTGTGTAATTATTGAGTGCTTGAGGCGCTCAGTTTGTAAAATATATGGTAGCTTGTGTCTGGGAACTTTGAGAAATTTCCATGTTTGAAGGATTATAATGAACAAAACTTTTTCTTTACACTCTTTTTTTCCCACATTTATAATGATAGTTAGGAAACGTTATCAGTTGATGCCTTTCAAGAATGCTTATTTAGTATTTCCTGGGTGAAGAAACCATAAGTTTGTTGTGATCCTGTCACACCTAAATTTCCTAGTTTCAGATTATAGAATTTCTGTCATTTCTCCATATTTGATGATTTATTTATTAATATCAAGGCTCTTCATCGATACTTAACTATGGCACAGCTGTGTTTTTATTTTTTTAGTATAATTTTTTTTCCTGTTTTTGATCGATACTATGGTGGAGTAGTTTACTAATCTTTCGTGGACCATGCAGACCATTCCAAGTTTTAAATTTAACATATACCTGGAAATATATTCCCCTTCACATTTTCTGTCTGTAGATAACTGTGAAATGTGTTTTGGATATACCTAGTTAGGAAATGTTGCTCTTCTTTTCCTGGACTTCAGTTTTTCTATTCTGGATGATATGTTTTCTTTCTAGTTTGTAGAGAGATTGATCAACTGGATTTGTGGAATGTTTTTGCTTTGCCGGGACACGATAAATTTAAGTGAGTTATGTTTGATATGTTTGAGATTGTAGGTTTTTCCATTTGAGTTTTATTTAAGGGTGTAGTGTGTATAAGGCTGAGTCCTTAAACAATCAAAGGAAGGCACACCTTCAAGTAGTGCTGAAATATTTTGTTTTAGTTTCAGAAATCTTTATGATGGCCTGAAAATTCATTTTCATCTCTAATTATAAAATTTTATGATTAAAAAATGGTGTAAATTGAGCAGATCTATGAACACTTGAAAATTGACGGTCTAGATAATATATTACAAGATGCACCATTTTCAAGACTTGAAATCTATTTTTTCTCATGTCCATGCATCTTGAGGTCGAGACAATTGAATTGATGGTTTTTCAATATCGAAACAACCTCTTCTAGTGAATTTTTGAGGTGTGCCTTAATTTGATTGTTTAGGGCCTCACCCTTACATAAACGTTTTCCTTTATTTAACCAGTCTATGTTTGTGCATAATTGCTCTTACTGCAACTACGTGAATATTTGATCAACTACATGGATATTACAATTAGATTGTGTAAGTTTGATTGTCAGATTAAAGTATATAACAATCTCCTTCCAGTAGATTTCCTTGAAAAATTACATTATTGTCATCGAATGAAATAAGATCCCACCCTTTCATGCATGCTACTGCTACGTTGGTTGTTGATTGATTGCATATTGCTCACTGATGGTCTTTTTATCTCGCATTTCATACTTGTTTTGTATCTTTATTTTCTTTATTTTTTGACAGTTTTTATGATACATTGTACCTTTGGTAATGTAGCCTTGAAATTTTGTTTTATCTATTCTCATTTCATTAAATGGAATATCTGATTATGTGTGTTTCAGGTTATATAATTCCATATATGTTCTTTTTAACCATGTATTACTTTCTGGCTTTAGGACATGTTCCAACAATCTTAACCTCTTTATTTGATCTTGGTTGGTAGATGTTTTGCACTTGGAATGATAGGCATCAAGGATCAATTTAGGCTTTTTGGATGAGGCATGTTTGTCTGCAACATGCCTGATTTGCTCTTATTATTATTAATAAATGGGGATTGAGTTGAATGATGTCAACAGTGATCACCATTTACTTCCCTCTGTTCTGTATTTTCAATTGTTTGGATCTTGCAATCCTATAATCCTCGCAATGAATATCCTTGTTTTGTCGAGATTTTGGATCTTGATGATGAAGACTCGACTGCATGCCACGTGTGTTCTTTATACAAATGAGCCATCACCTGATGAAAATTGTTAGCTAACGAATGGGAATGGAATTTTGTGAGAATATTATTTTACACCTTGCTTATAAATTCTCAAGGGCATAAAAACTGCAATTATTGTTTAGATTCTTAACCTTCAATATTATTCATCATCATTATGTTAGTGCTCGGTTGTCAGTTGGGATACATCTTTGTCTGTTTACTTAGAACGCCTCTTTGTTGAAGTAATCTTTTTCTTTTTTTTTTATTCCATAAAAGTGATTTCGTGTTCGTCAAGGATGGAATTTCACTGGACTCCATTTGGTGCTGGATACCTAATGCTTGAACCAACATTTTATTTATTTGCAGAAGGTGAAAATTTTGATGTGGGAGCACAGGTTCTTGGCTCCTACATGAGTGTAAGGTGGGCTTAGAAGGAAATGGTTGGGGTAGTATTTGAAGAGCTCGCTACGTTGTGAAGTGGCTGGTCTGGATTTGGAGCACCTTCATTGCTACCTACTTGAAGATGTCAATCCTTTGAAGGGTTTGTATTGGTCACCTTTGAAGTTGAGTCAGCTATAGGGGGCAGCATTGTACTTTTCCTACCTTTGGAAGGAGGATATTCGACAATGTGTTCTTCTTACTACCTATCCTCCATCTTTGGTCCATTTCCATCAGGATGAGGTGCCAATTGTAGAGTGAGGTCTTTTCCTCAAACATGGCAGCTGATGGTCATGTTCTCAAACATGGCAGTTAGATGTGGTGCTTGGCATTCATCTTATCCCTTAATTATAAGAAAGGCTTATCTCTTTGTTTTGGGGAGAGATGGCAGCTATAGGTTTGATCAATTTGAGTGGACATAGCTAGATTCTAAGCCAACTCCCAAGGAATATCTGCTCTCATACCAAAACTGATGTAGGATCAAGGGGGGGCTATCTGTAAGACAATGTAAAACACTCAAAAGGGCAAAAAGGAAACTTGTATCACCATTCATTATTATCAACATAAATATACAACATGAGGGTAACCTGCATAGCAAGATAGTTATGGAGTGTAATACACCACCTTACTTTCTATATATATGATACACCACACTATATATGATATGATATACTAAGTAATACAAGATCTTCAACAATCTCTATGCTCCCCTCGAACTCAAGCTGGTTGAAAGACATCAGTTTATCAATGAGATAGTCATATCCAACCCAAGTCATTCCCTTGGTAAAAATCTCTGCAAGTTGTTTTTTTGAGGCAACTTGTGGGAGTGTGATATCTCTAATCAGGAATTTTTCACAAATAAAATGTACATCAACTTCCATATTCTTTTTGTGCTCATGTAACTCTGGATTAGAGGGAATACAAATGACACTCATATTATCAGCATATTAAGGCATGGGAGATTTGAGGAAAAGTACTTAGGCCGCTTGATAGACCTCTCAATCAAGTGATTTAATTACAAGCTGAGGAGATGGCCCTGTATTTGGCTTCGCAGGGGATCTCAATAGTGTGTTGTTTCTTACATTTCCATTATATGAGGGAGACTTTGAGAAATATGTACCGTCCAGTGGTCGAGAGTTGAGTACCGGGGCACCCTGTCTGGTCAGCATTGGCATAGGCTCACAGTTGGACGGAAGAATTAGAAGAAGAGAACAGCCCTCTTGGCATGTCCACTTACTGCCTTGTAAGATGCTTTTCTAGCTGTATTCAACAAAGAGAAGTTCAATTCAAAAGAAAGAAGTTACTCCACTGTAACAGGTTCTTAAAAATTTGAACAACTTGAGAAGTAAAGTAAGCAGTAAACATTATTGCTTGTCTTACTATAGGCAGATTTTCATATAAGATTTTCATGTAAGATGAGATTTTTAAGAACCTATTCTTTGATAAGAAATAGAGAGAAAAGTAAAGGTAGAAAATAATCCTTGATCCATGGGGTGTTTCCCAGTACTACCTGGGAGGAGTCCATCTCCCCAATAACGTCTCCCAGTATTTGAGATTTATATTTATTTCTCTTGAATAGCTTCTCTATTATATACGCTATTCTCCAATTTTTCAACTGGCCCACTAATGACATAGCGTTTTCTCCTATTGGGAAGAAGCAGACAAAAGGTACCTGATATGCATATTTCAACGAGGCCCTGAATTATCTTCCCGGCATCACTAATGCCTTTTGGCCAACCTAGCCATACAGAGGCATTTGCATCTATGATTGTTTATCCAGTCTACCAAGAACCACTAGGCCATTCCTATGAGCTCACAGTGGTTGGAACCAGGCAACATGGTTCAATGACATGGTAAAATGTGGCCTGTCTACCTATAGTGCTTATACTCAGTTCACTGTCGCTCTTGGCCATTTGTCCTTATTGACCTGGCTGTCATAAGGAGTTAACACCTCGAATGAGAGGTCACTGCTAGGGTTTTTAACCCCTTCTAGGGACGTAACTAGCCCTTGTGTAGAACATGTTGCTACATGGGTTTACTGGAAGCCACACCAAAGTCCTTGCCATGGCCTGCATGCTGGGCTCTTTTCCTTAATAAATAGAGGAGAAACCCTTTTGTTGGGCATCAATTAATCAGTTGATCAATCCATTCCATGTCTTCTGAGTTGGTTTTATCTCAAAAGTCGTTCTTAACCTTTACAAAGTCGATAACCCTTGGCATCATACTTGAGTTTCCATCTCAGGTCACCGCCATGTTTTAAATATTTTCTCAAAAGTGGTCTCACCTCAGTGGTTAGTATTTTATAGTACATAACAGTCCCGTCCTACCTTGATAGCTGTGCTCTGCTTCAAGCCATTATATCCAGGAGGACAGGCACTTTTGGACCTGATCGGTTTGCACCCACTGCAGTGGCTTCAAAGTCTCTTGTGGCTTTGTGTCTGAATGGAATCCATATTGTTGCTTCAACATGCTGGGACTTGGCACTCTCAAATGCCCTTAAGGCTGTTGATGACATCTTAGCTAGGTACAGCTATTCAGAGATCCTTAGAAGATACCTTTATATTCTTCACCTGCAAACTTGCATGCTTAGTCCATGCTGATCCTTTGTGGCAATTTTCTCATTCTTAGAGAAAATCTCATGAGGTTCTTGTTGAAAACTGCTAGTCAAACGGAGAGACATTTCCTTGACATATACCGAGTTTGGGCTCATGAAGGCTTCCTTTGTCATGCCCTCATCGCTATCCTTTCCCC